TAGAGGAAGTGGGCCCTGGTTTCTGGTCACGGGCACGGATGGCAAAATAACACGGCGGCATAAACACACGCCTTTTTATGGAGTTAGGATCTGACGCCCAGGCCTCCAGCAGTTTGCGTCCTGTCTTATTACTGGCTCGTGCCCTTATCCGTGTGTTCGAGAAGTCGAATTCATGGCCTCCTTCCAGAGCGTGGTTAGCGATCCTAACTCAATACACAGGCATGTGTGGATATACCGCCGTGCTATTTTGCCATCCGTGCCCGTGACCAGAAACCAGGGCCCACTTCCTCTACAAGCATGCAAGTTACCACGTCAAGGTCACACGCCTTTACTCCAGGGACGCGTGTCGGAGACACGATAATATAGCGTGAGAATGGACGTGGCGTGGACAGGGACCAATCAATAATTGCTACCCCCCAACCAACCCCATTTATGCGTAGCTGACGCTTTCTGTTCTCATTTACTCCGACGATGGCTTCTCGTATGGAGCCGAAGGCTCAGAATAAAACTATCGTTACAGAGATCGCGTCTTCCTCTTCTTTACAACAATAACCTGGGGCACGCATATTCGCTTCTATTCGTAACTAAACTAAGCTAAACTACACAAAACTAACTAACTAAACTACAAGTAAGAGTAGTCTACTAAACTCAATTATAAAACAAAAACTAAAATAAACTAACATCACTGATTTCTGGGACTAGGAAGTATCTAACATGGGCAACCAACCAAACGTTTACCGAACACACGTTTACCTTGAATAAGGAACAAAGATTGTCGAGCACCGGATCAGTTTGTTTATTATCCCGAGTTTTCGGGCAGTTGCGGGATTCCATCGTCAGAGATAAAAGCGTACACGGAAAGCAAGCAACAGGACAGGAACCAATCAACCGTTATAAGGGTGTCGCAGGGGGTCAAGTAAGTTAAACCGTGCAACTGCGATCTTCAGACCATGGTTACTTAGTGCAGAAAAGAAGTTAAAGGCCAGAGTAGTAGGAGGAATGTATTGTGTACAGAAAGGAAAAGAGAATAGATGGAG